CTTCCTTCTATTCTGTGATTTAACAGTGACGGTCATACAAGGGTATCCAAGACTTGGCGGTGGTCGCTGTTCACTACTTATCTTCCTTCTATTCTGTGATTTAACAGTGACGGTCATACAAGGGTATCCAAGACTTGGCGGTGATCGCTGTTCACTACTTATCTTCCATCTATTCTGTGATTTAACAGTGACGGTCATACAAGGGTATCCAAGACTTGGCGGTGGTCGCTGTTCACTACTTATCTTCCCTCTATTCTGTGATTTAACAGTGACGGTCATACAAGGGTATCCAAGACTTATCTTCCTCTATTCTGTGATTTAACAGTGACGGTCATACAAGGGTATCCAAGACTTGGCGGTGGTCGCTGTTCACTACTTATCTTCCCTCTATTCTGTGATTTAACAGTGACGGTCATACAAGGGTATCCAAGACTTATCTTCCCTCTATTCTATCAGTTCAAAATCAGAGATGGTTATGAGAAGATGTAAATTTTGTTTATTTTGTCTGAAATGAAGGCCAGTTTTAAACAAGTTTTCATCTGAATAAATTTGGTTTTCCAAGACACAGTTTTCCATGAAAAATGTTTTCTTATGTGGTTAGTAAAAGAAAACGTTTATCCTTGAACTGTGGATACAAAATTGGTATAGCACTTTGCTATGAGCATAATTAACTACATAATAGCCACTGAACTTTAACCATGCATGTAAGTATAGAGATGAGTCTGTTTGTATTTCGAGAAAGCACATATAGTTTAAATAAACAGAAATAATAAATCTTCTATATTTACAAAGCAGTGCTATCTTCTGTTTTTTATGGAATGAAAAATTTTCGTTTCTTGTTCAAAGTGTAATGACACTTTATCATAGAAAAATATGTTTTGACAAGATGTTTAATATCAGCATTTGTTTACATTACCTGTGTCACTGGTCAGCACAGCCATCTAGGAATTGATTGCTATCAAGCTGAACACATCCTAATCATTCAGTTCTAACTCAAACATATACTTAGCGCTTTGTATTAATTGTAATGGCTCTTTTCATAGCTAAGTGCTTTTATTTCGTTTTTTGGCATATGAAATGATATTTCTAAGTATATTATACGAATAAAGTTCTTGATCTTATTTTGCTTATACGCATTTTACTCTACGCTACTTCATAAAATGATATTATATATAGATAGTATAATGTATAACGTTTAATTTTGGCATAAATAATAGAACAACTGATATGCAGTGAGTATTGATTATCGCCATCTATTATTACAAAACAATAACTTACAGAAAAATACCCTTAAATGCAAACGTTGTTTTATTGTCACCTTGTGCTACTAACTAAAACTGACTTTCATTACATACGTGGTAATAGGTTGGTTCCGAATTTCTATATTTGTCTTATTTTTCAAAAGATCTATTTACGAAATGTCTGAATTGTTTATATTAAAAACGTTTCTCAAGGTCGTAATATTTTAAGTGTTTCATTAAATAATTGCTGCAGTTGTTTAATAAAACAATTAAGGGGTATTGTTTATTAAAAACTGTATATAAAGTCTGACATCTGGAAATTGAAACAATTCGTAAAAGATATGTCTGTTTGACGGTCGTAGGATTAGGAGTAAGATTACAACAATTTAACCGTTTTGAGAAAGCATGTTTTCATGAGTTTATATTTTAACAAATAAAATGCCAATTAAAACAACAACAATGTAGATAATTTTAATATTAGGGTCTGTCAAGATGGAGGACCTTTATTTACCTTCTAGACTTGTAAACGTAGAGAATGAAAATCAAATTAATCCTAACATATATAATCATGCGTAGAAATAATATTAAGATATGACACTTACAATTGTTCTTTGGAACAATTTTATTAAGTTCTCTTCTGCATAAAACTGTGGGAATTTCGGTTATATTTCATATCTTTTGTTATTCAACACTTCATTGCATCATCTTAAGCTAATGTTTGACCACTGCTAAGCTTATTCTCTAGAAGTTTGACTTCACCTGAAGCCCGTTGTTTTCTCCTAGTTCTTCCTTTCGTTTGTTATTCACTTATTATGCGATTACTTTTCGATATCAAAACTGTTTTCTTCTGTTTCATGAGAGGTATACACATTAATTTGTTTTCTGTCGTACCGTTCTTTATTCAAACACTTTCTATATATTCGTTCTACACGACGTTATTCTCATTTCCAACAGTGCATGCAAACATGCGAGTGTGGACTGTCTTTACAGCTCGTCTTTCCTTTATGTTGAGGAATAACTTAGTTTACTTTATAAGCTGCTAAGTGCTATGTTCAATTCAATAACTAAACAAAATATATCGTAGCAGTGTTTGTTACTTTTGTTTTCTCCTATTAATAGATTACCTAACTCCATTTCAGTAGTCTAATCTTAGCCTTTGAAAACCCATTTTAAACGCTAGGTGTTATCACAGTGCTGTTCTGTCTCCTACAAAGTTGCATGACATTTGAGCTTAGATGTTATCATAATGTTGTACACTTTCCTATAAACCTGCACCCCCCCCCCAGGGGCACAGCGGTATGTCTGCGGATTTAGAACGCTAGAAACCTGGTTTTGATACCCGTTGTGGGCAGGACACACATAGCCCGTTGTGTAGCTTTGTGCTTAATTATAAATAAACAAACAAAATATAGCTGCATGACTTAAATGTTGAAAATGGGCAAATAAATTTATCCAATGAAAAAGAAATGTTGCTCCTATTTCTCATAAATTATACTGAAACATCTCCAGACAGTAGCGCAATACTTAAAAATCGAAAAAAATATGTGTACCTATCTTGCCTCAATTTTCAACTACCCAACCTTTCATCAAAATAATTAATTTTGAAACTCTCCAATTTTTTTACAATAAAAATAGTTTAAACATAATTCCCCAAACTATATCAATGATATGATTTGATAAAAGATGTGTAGGAAGTGTTATGAGTGATGTATTATATTATATTCGTTAACTTGCGAAATGAATGCCACGCTAGGTGTAGTAAAATATGAATTTAAATCGAACTGTATTTCTCAATGTAGAATTCTTACCATAATTGAATTTTGTAGATTTTTTTGGGATTGAAGAAGACACAGGAAGAATATATGTAAAGTCAGACCTTGTCTCAAGAACGCAGTACAGTTTAATTGTTCAGGCAACGGATGACGGAGAACCACAAAACAACAGCTTAGGAGTGACGGTCAACATCTTCGTTCGTGAGGTCAACGACCATGCTCCCATATTCTCTCAGAAAACCTATAAGGGATTCGTTACGGAAAAAGAAGCAACAAATAAAGTTATTATACAGGTATATAATTGTGGTTATTCTGTATGCATAGCCCCTTTTTAAACTTAATTAAAAATGAAATTGGCGAGATTAAACAGCACAGCAATTAATACAGTAGAACAGGGACATGAAGCTAAAAGCGTTATAAAAAGTATTCTTTCTTTTTTAGCACACAAGTTGTTATGTTATGGGAACCCATTTACTTTTTGAACAAGTTTTTTCTCTCTGTATAAGAAACGAATGGAGATGTCAATCTGAACCTATTTCGATACATGGTAGTAACTGAGTAAAGATACTGTATTCCTGTAGAATACTGACATTACAGTCTAGAGAAAGTATTCTGTTTACCTTTAGAATATTCAGTTACAGTCCAGAAAACGTTACTTGTAAGAAGAACCATATATTAATTCTTATCTTGTGAAACACATAAATACCGTCCGGTATTATACTTTCTTGAATTAGAATGGAAAAATGAAACAATAATATTATTATTGATATTTTGTTTAAATACTCATTACAATCCATCTCAATTTAACACTTATCGAAGTTATTGATATTTTGTTTAAATACTCATTACAATCCATCTCAATTTAACACTTATCGAAGTTTTAACGTTTAAATGAGTT